GTACAGAGTACGGAATCTTCTTAATAAAATGGTTTATAACACAGAATTTTCTTAAAGAAAAGAATACAGAGTAAAAAAGGTTAAAAGATAAGAAGTTCAGATTACAGTATAGGACCCATAAAACTAGGAATATAAAGACGACATTCAATAATCTTATGTGTGTTTTAATTTGAATAAAGCAGTACAGTACAGTAGCTTGAAAATCTACAAATTTTATTACTTGTGAAATGGGGCTGTGTACACTGCACAATTGTGTTTCATGTTAATTTGACTTTTTAATATAATAACTTGAGTCTAACAGTTGTCTTCCACAGTATTTTGGGATCCATTGTATTATAGACTAAAAGAGCTCAGAGTACAGAATATTCTAAAAGAGCTGAGTACAGAATATTCTAAAAGAGCTCAGAGTACAGAATATTCTAAACGAGCTCAGAATACAGTATATTCTAAAAGAGCTCAGAATACAGTATATTCTAAAAGAGCTCAGAGTACAGTATATTCTAAAAGAGCTCACAGTACAGAATATTCTAAAAGAGCTCAGTGTACAGTTTATTTTAAAAGAGCTCAGAATACAGTATATTCTAAAAGAGCTCAGAGTACAGTATATTCTAAATGAGCTCACAGTACAGAATATTCTAAAAGAGCTCAGTGTACAGTATATTTTAAAAGAGCTCAGAATACAGTATATTCTAAAAGAAAAATGGTAAAGAATAAAAAAAGCTGAGTCTGCAGGTTTAAGAATAATCTATATTGCCGCACTTGCTCTTCCAGAAATCCCTATTCTTTTCATATGCTGTGATTAACCTTTTCTATACTAATCCGTCTCACATTATAACGGTGAATCCCCCCCACCCCGTTAATTTGGTTTATGTAAGATTACCTACAGGGTGTCCCAAAAAACATGGGAATTCAGTGACGAACTCGATATCGTCTTTGTTATAAATTAGCATTGTAATACCTAATTTCAAATGTCATAATATTATTATGTCTGCTAGAGTTTATTTTATGAAAAGGGTAAAAGACTGTAAAGATGTGTCTATAATGTCTCTGCTAGATGAACAGTGAAGACGGACAAGTTTACTCTGTTTGTATACTGCAATTTTCTTGTTTTACTAAGTACAACCGTATGCAGTCAAAACATAAACAAACAAAATGTGAACATAGCAGACGAAACTCTTACATATTACAGCTTTCTCATTAGGTATCACTATACTAAATCAAAGAATTATTTAAAGAGACGATATCGAATTCGTCACTTAATTCCCATGTTTATTGGGACACCCTGTATATTAAGAAATTTTTTTTTGTTGTTTCATAAAAAAGATATAGAAGTAAAAAAAGCCCCCTACAAAATTTGGCGTCAAACCTTATAGAAATCCAACGTTTAGAAACCGGCGCTACGTATAGCAACATGGCGTATTTTCCGGGAGACCATTTTTTATATTTTTGAGAAATTCAAAGTTACATTCAGGGATTTAAAACTTTAGGCTTTACTTTAGAATGCATAAAAGGCACCCTCTTTGTTTTGTATAGATATAGTCTGTACGTAAGTATACTACATACACTGTTAATCTATCTGCCTAAAAGTCGGCCCGGTACTTGAAATAAACCAGAGTTTTCAGCGCCAGAGGGGGCAGTTTCTATTATCTTTACTTAATATTATTTTAACATTACTTCTATAATACCTTCTACCGTCTATACTTCTGCAACGGTTATGTAGTTTCAAACTTAATTTAACTTTGAACATCTACATACTTTAATAGATATATTATATATATTCTATATCTGATTATTATATAGGGTTACTCACAAAAGATACGACTAAAATATTTATGGTTTACAAGTTACAAAAAAAGGGATTCGAAAATTTGAGTTTGTGGCAAAAACTCATTTTTACAGTTCTAATATTTTAAAAATTATATTAAACAGTGATCTTCAGAATAAAGTTGAGTTGACTAACAAATCAATAAATGATTTTCAATAATTTTTGCATTCGTTTGGGGTATTTCTTTTAACTGACTTACCTCCTTTCAAAAAAGAAAAGTTTAAGAATAATCTAATTTTACAATCCTACTCTTCAAAATGTTTACTTAGTATTTCAAAGACAAAAAAGAAAGTTTTTAAAAGTTTTATTTAAACAATGGACTAAAACTGGTAACACAACAAAAAGAATGGTAGCCACCCCCTCCCCTTTTTCCCCTTCCCCTTCCCCTCCTCTTTCCCCCTCCATCTTTCTCTGGTTGTATTCCCTTTGTTCTTTTGTTCTAAAAGTAAATGTATTTCAAAGTATTACTTTATTCCTTTCTACCTTTCTCGGTAATCAAATCAAAGCATTATATAAACATATATTTTAACAATAAACCCTCTAATTATATAAACATATATTTTAACAATAAACCCTCTAATTATATAAACATATATTTTAATAATAGAACCCTCTAATTATATAAACATATATTTTAACAATAAACCCTCTAATTATATAATGTGGAAGACGATGTTTCGACCTCTAAAACAGAGTTCCACAACAGAAGCAGAACGCGGTATTCTGCTTAGCCTCGTGAAGCTTGATTTATAGTTAGTTATAAAGTTTTGTCATATCAATAAATATATACTGGAATGAGTCTAACCGAGTTTTATTAGAGTCCGTCCTCCGACCTCTAAAATAAACATATATTTTAACAATAAACCCTCTAATTATATAAACATATATTTTAATTATAAAACCCTCTAATTATATAAACATATATTTTAACAATAAAACCCTCTAATTATATAAACATATATTTTAACAATAAAACCCTCTAATTATATAAACATATATTTTAACAATAAATAAGAAAAAAAAATATTTTAAATTTTTGTTGATTGAAAATCTGTCAAAATTTCAAATAAGGATTATTTATCATTTTACGAAGAAAGGGGTCCTGATACTTTTTTTCATGGAACTATTGAGTGCAGAAGGAGTTTCAAGTAATTTTTTAATAACAGATTGACATGCCCAATGGTCCAATTCACAACGGTACTCTTTAAAGCTTTGTCTGTCAAAAAGGCATAAGATATTCATCATTTCCTTTTTTAAAATTCCTTATTTTCAATTGTGGGTTCTCTATAAAGGAACTTTCTGCTTCAGAAACCATGTTGGGAATTGAAAGAATTGAATATTTTCCAAGCTTAAAAAACGACAATATCTTCCACATAAATGATCAGATAAAGGTTGAGAATGCCAGTTATTTTTATTTCAATCGTTATGACTGATTTAAATATTTAATAAGAAAGATTTAAAAAATTTCAAGTCTAAGCCTAGAGTTGTGAATTTCCATTTACCAAGTTTTAAAATCGATAAATAATGAAATGTCTGAAACCAGATTATTCACACTGTTTAATATGGCTTCAACGTCAAACTTCCAAACAAGTTATAAATAGTTTAATATCAGGTCGATACCGCTTTTAACAATTTATTAAAATGTTCAAATATTTGACATACATGGAAAGATATGGTGATATATTATAATAATTTTCATCTACATATAAATTTGGCTTGTCTGTCTGTTTGTCTGTCTTGGTGTCTGTCTGTCTGTTTGTATCCAATAAACGTCAAAACGGCTGAACCGATCGGGCCCAAATTTTTTGTGGGACCTCTCGGGGCCCCAGGGAAGGTTTATGAATGATCAAAATTTCAAATATTTGTCTCCATCAAAATTCGATCTCCATTAAATTTTTTAAAATTTTGAAAATCCACGAAATTTTTTGTGAAAATCCGCGAATTATTTTTGTTTTGTTTTACGATGTACACAAAGAGAACATGTTCACAATTAATTTAGAAGATGGGCGCGAAGCGCCCTCTAAGGCTAGTAACTATAAGTTTCGATAAGCGTTTAACAAAATAAAGAGTTTTGACGGATATAACTTCTTCAAATTTTGATAACTTTGAGAATTTTTTAAATTTTTTTTTTTAATTGGCAATTATCGGAATTTTTAATCAATTTATCTGATTTTCTAGGAAGTAATTCAGTTCTTGGTATTGCTTAATATTCGGCTGCGTTGTTTTATTATTGTCTGTTTTATGTTGACACACTAGTGCCATTGTTAATTTGCCTTTGGGACATTTCATAGAAAGACATTTCGTAGAAAGACATTTCATAGAAAGACATTACATAGATAGTACATTTTATAAATAGGACATTTCATAGATAAGACATTTCATAGACAGAAAATATTTTTTATAGACAAAGGAGATTTTTTATTTATACGAAATTTTGATTTTTCGTCGACAAAGAAAATGCAAATACAAGTGCACACCATATAAATTGCTACAACGAAACAATTAAAAAAGCATTAATTATGAAGAGTACTTTTTTATTTTTTTAGAACTTATAATTCAACTATTTCATCTGTGCATAACAGTTTTTCACTAATATTGCTCTTGTTGAATGAAAATGCTCGAGTGAATTGTTAAAAATCCGCAAAATTAAATTGGAAAAACTGCAACATCTCAGTTTTTTTCTCTGACACGGTAGAATGAAAACATGGCCTACATTTCAGAGATAAGACTTTTCATAGACAGAGAAGATTTTTCATAGACAAGGGAAAATATGAAAAAAATATATATATCATTTGTAAAAAAAATTGTAATATCTTTTGATGACAAATTCGATGTTTTCTATTTCTGGACACAATATGTTAGTTGTTTGTTTGGATAACTAGTGTTGTGATTCGACCATTTTCTAAAAACTTTTAATAAAAATTTAAAGATTTTAAAACTGTTTTACTTTAAACAGTTTCTCTTACTATGCCAAACTTGAACCTTGAAAAAGAAAATAAAAGGGAAAATATAGCGGGAAAATATAGGGGAAAATATAGGGGAAAATATAGCGGGAAAATATAGGGGAAAATATAGGGGAAAATATAGCGGGAAAATATAGGGGAAAATATAGCGGGAAAAACGATCCAAAAGGAACCAACGTAATGCACATCAGTATCCTTGTGTTGTGTTAAGGACTACTACGATCAGATCGACAAGAAGGATCCAAGATCAGCTGTCGCCATCCCTAAGGTCGATGACCAGGAGATATCCAGGTATAACACAATGCAGGGGAGTAAAGTTCTAAACCGTGATATGGCATAAACCTGACACTGGTTGTCAGGTTTTAGAAAATACATTATAAAGGTAATATATATATGGTATTTTCAAATTGATATACATGTATAAGTTTTCCCATTTGAAAAGGATAGTGCATAACTGTAAATTTGAATATGACAAAGAAAGGTTTATTATTAAAAAATTTGGATAAGGGTTAAAACATGCGTATACTATGCTTATACTTTGGCGTCACAATTGGGAGAAAATGGGCAACTGTGATCATTACATACTATAAAAATTAGAAAAATAATCATCAAAGTAAAAATTTATGTTTTCCCCATAACATAATAAGACTAAAACTTTTTTTTCTATATACAGGGTTATCCACAAAGAATGTGACTTTAATGAAGACCTAAAACTCTTTAAATACGACAAGCAGAATATGTTGAATTTGTTCCAATGTGTTTAATATAGATCTATTATGGTATCTTTAATAACTTTTCAAAGAAAAACATGATTTTACAGTTCCAGGGATTCATGCTGATTTAAGAAAAAGCAATATATTCCGCACAGTCTCATACTTTGTGGGTAACCCTGTATGTACTGTGCATACTTAACAAATACAATTATATAATTACTGCCAATTAACCTTTAATTGGCAGCCATATGTTCCAGAAATAAAAGGTTTACAAATGATCTTTTTCCATTTATCTGGCATTAAAGGAAATATTTTTACTTATTTCAAAATACACATCACCTTCATCACGAATCACGACTAAGCCTATCTATAGCAATCAGAAATGTTTCTTCAACCCATAACGTCCTATAAACTCTCTATAAAAATATATGTATAAGATATTGCATATCCTCTGAAGATGAATAAAGGAATTGATTTTTTTTGCCACAATTTCAAATTTTCTAACCCCTTTGTCTGTGCAACCTGGTGGTTTAAACCTTTATTATTTTAAACAAAGCCTATTTATCTAACAGAATAAATAGGTTAAAATGTCAGAGAGAATTAGGCGTTTGGAGCTCTGCTCAAAATCCCAAAAATCTGGGTATTAAGAGTAATTTGAAAATTGGTTTTTAAAACGTTTTTATTTTCAAAATTTTGATTAGTTTTTATTTAAGATTTGGAACCATGATCCTGGCTGCAATCTCACTTCTCCTGGTCATTGTAACCCTTCCCTTCTCACTCTGCTATTGCGTCAAGGTAAGCTTCTAANGAGGGGGGAAGAAGGGTGAAGTATATGGATAATAAGAAACGAGAAGGTTTTATCAGGGTCGGGGACAGGACTCACTCCAAGCTACCCCCTAAATATAATGCTTAGATCATGAAACACATGAAGACACACCATTTCATCCCTTTCCTGCAGAGAGAAAAGCCATCCGGTCTCTTCATCCCCTTTATCTGCTCCTGGATACTAGTTTACAGTTTTATTTCTATCTATAATACAAAGTCTATTGAAAATATCGTGAAAATGGTATTTATTTTACTATATGAAATATACAGTTGTTAACAAATTCAAGAAAACACGAAGACGATCACTACTGTGTAGCGAAGTTGACCGCGGAAGATTCACAATACTACAATACTATATCCGCTCCATATTTACCGTAGGATTGGCCAAACTTTGTCACTAGGCTGACAATAATGTTATTTACCGAAGGATTGTCACTAGGCTGACAATAATGTTATTTACCGGAGGATTGGCCAAACTTTGTCACTAGGCTGACAATAATGTTATTTACCGAAGGATTGTCACTAGGCTGACAATAATGTTATTACTATTAATCAATGTTATTTCATTTTCAACCGTTTAGATACTCCCAATTAAGGGCCAATATTTTTAAACTTTGCTTTTATTTCTCATTTCATGCTATTATTCAATAAAGTTACCGAATATCCCTGTTGTTCTTTTATTTGTGTCAACAACAGTCCAATAAAAAAGTATCAAAAAGCAAATACGAAAATTTTCATTTAATGAGTGAAAATGTGTTTCAAAACTGAGGTTCACTGAATTTGAACAAGAAACCTAATTTACCGTGGCGAGCTAACAGCTGCGAGCTGTTGGTTAACTGATTAGCATTTTACAAAGTTGTGAAGAGGATGGTGTGGAGGTCACGCCACTAGGCTTAAAGCTGACTTATTTCCCGCCACTAGGTTTAAACTAACTTATTTCCCGCCACTAGGTTTAAACTAACTTATTTCCCGCCACTAGGTTTAAAACTTTTTTTCCGCCACTAGGTTTAAACTAACTTATTTCCCGCCACTAGGTATAAAACTTATTTCCCGCCTTTAGTTGTACACATTTTATCACATTTTTCTTCATCGGACATATATATTTTTGTTATTTGCTTTCTTACTATTTGTGCCAATTAAATTTTAAACATAAAATCTTTTTCTCAATGGACCATTTGCTCTATACATCATGCTCCCATATGGGTTTCTAGCCTCGTTCAGCGCTCGGGCTCTTGTCTCATGTATCCTGCAGCCAATGAGAAGGGATAGATGAATAATATAAATCCGTATGTTTCAATCTTTTCTTCTTTTCCTTCATAAATCATGAAACAAAGTTAAAAACTTTCTGGACACAGGAGGTCATAGATCTATGAAATATTTAAAAGGAAAGAGGATTGTCACTTCTAAGTGTGTCTTTTGTTTTAAACAGACACAGCGTGACAATAGAAAAAGCGATGCATCATAAAATAATAGTTTTTAGAAGCTTTATTTCTTTAATATTAGAAATACACACTATTACATATAAAAGTGATAATAAATACTGTTGACAATATTTGAACCATTTTAAAAATCGTCGAAAACAATTATTTTCTCAATATGAAATAAAATAAAGCATCATTTAGCCTTTCATTTTTTTCTAGATCGGGGAAAAAAGTATATAATAATTCTTATTGCGCTTACTCAAAAATAATTCTATAAAATGAAAATAAAAAATATTTTTTACATTTTTGATTACATTTCAGGATTCCTGAAGTCCCTGTGACCCCTCCCCCCCCCTTTCCTACCTTAACTTTGTTTACAAGAATGTCGAACTGATTGACTGATTTGACAAAAGAATATGGAGTGTTACTGAGTACTTCTCAACCAAATATAGATTAGTTTTAATATTGAGTAAACATCCAGAACAATAAGCTTTGCTAAATAAAAATATAAAATAATTTCGTATTCAACGATTTTATTGAAATGTCAGATTTCTAAAATAATACTCTAATTCTTAACAACTATATCTTTGCAACTCAATCGTTTAAACCTTAAATTTAAAACTTTTACTAATCTTCGACATAAGGTTGCAAAGATAAAAGGATTAGAAAATAAGAGTTTGAGTGATACAAGTAATCAGGTCCTTCCGTAAAAGATGTGAAATGAACATAGAACTTATGAAAGAAAGCAGTCTACTATTTATGAGCTGTCTACTAATTTGTACAATAGTACAAATAGATTTATCAGATTGTACAAGAGAACAAATATATTCATGTACAGGTTGTACAAGAGTACAAATGTATTTATGTACAGTTTGTACAAGATCATAAATATATTATGTGCAGGTTGTGCAAGAGTTCAAATATATTTATGTACAGGTTGTACAAAAGCATAAATATATTATGTGCAGGTTGTGCAAGAGTTCAAATATATTTATGTACAGGTTGTACAAGAGTACGAACGAGCTGTAATATTTCGTCTGGGCAGACTGAAGAAAGGCGGAGCATCAGGACCTGGTCTTTTCTTCATCTTACCCTGCATAGATAAGGTAGATACAAGTACAACCAGACAGAAGGTAGAAATAAGTACAACCAGATTAAGGTAGAAAAATGTTTAACCAAACTAAAGGTAGAAACAGGTTCAACCAGACTAAAGGTAGGATCAGTTTCAACAAGACTGAAGGTAGAAACAGTTTCAACCAGAATAAAAGGTAGAAAAATGTTCAACCAAACTAAAGGTAGAAACAGGTTCAACCAGACTAAAGGTAGAAACAGGTTCAACTTGAAGACTAAAGGTAGAAACAGGTTCAACCAGACTAAAGGTAGAAACAGATTCAATCAGACTAAAGGTAGAAACAGGTTCAACCAGACTAAAGGTAGGATCAGTTTCAACAAGACTAAAGGTAGAAACAGTTTCACCAAGACTAAAGGTAGAAACAGTTTCAACCAGACTAAAGGTAGAAACCAGTTCAACCAGACTAAAGGTAGAAACTGGTACAACCAGACTAAAGGTAGGATCAGTTTCAACAAGAATAAAGGTAGAAACAGGTTCAACCAGACTAAAGGTAGAAACAAATTCAATCAGACTAAAGGTAGAAACAGGTTCAGCCAGACTAAAGGTAGAAACAAATTTAATCAGACTAAAGGTAGAAACAGGTTCAACCAGACTAAAGGTAGAAACAGGTTCAACCAGACTAAAGGTAGGATCAGTTTCAACCAGACTAAAGGTAGAAACAGTTTCAACCGGACTAAAGGTAGAAACAGTTTCAACCAGACTAAAATACATGAATCAAGGTAGAAACAAGATCAACCAGAATAAAATACGTCAATGAGGTAGAAACAGCTAACAATATCAACTAGACTAAAATACATCAAAAAGGTTTAAAAATGATCAACTATACTAAGAATACATTTATAAGGTAAAAATAAGCTCCATTTGTTTTGTAGATTTTAATTGAGATACATGTTACTTTATTTTATTCTCATACAAACTTTATCCATAATTAATTTTCCAAATTCAAAGAATATTTCTATATCGTGACTCAGTAGTTTCCATGATTATTGGGACACCCTGTAAATCTCTAATTATATTTTCTATTATCTTAATGTAATCCTAATGATAAAATATATATGATGGGTATGGGCTGTATAAAGTGCTTTTTGTTTTTCTAACTATGCACCAGGACAACTTGGGCTAACGACGAAGAAGATGTAGGTAGATATAGGTAGATGTAGGTAGATGTAGGGATTGAAAGTTAGATCGATAGTCTTATAGATGGTAAAATAGACAGTTTGATATATTGATAGATATACATATAGATATGGAGATAGACAGTTTAGATATTTAGATATATATAGATAGATATTTAGAAAGATAGATAAATAGAAAGATAGATAGATATATAAATAGATAGAGAGATAGATAGATAGATAGATAGATAGATAGATAGATAGATAGATAGATAGATACAGAGTCTAATATATAATCCTTTCTTTTCTGCTCCCTGGGCACACTGAGATATCTCATCAAACAACCTTCATTAAGGAGTCGTGTTATGGGAGACTGGGGGTGGGAGGTCGGATGAGGTCCCTTTTATACTTATTATCTATGTAATAAAGCTTTTCGCTCATATATATATATGTCAACTATAGCTGGCCAAACGGCTGGACCGAATGGGCTGACATTTTTGATGAAACCCATGGGTACCCGAGGGTTAACATAGACTAGAAAATTCATATCATTTTTCTTCGAAAATAGATTTTTATTTTTCATATTCTATTTATTAAATATCACGGGCAACGCCGGGCAATTCAGCTAGTTAAAATGTATATTATATTGATTTTATCTTTCTTGCTACCATATATGAAACATATAAAAATTTTAACCTACAAAACATTTTCCTTTAAATATTTGGCAAACTTTGTCACTAGGCTGACATTAATGTTATTTACCGTAGGATTGGCCAAACTTTGTCACTAGGCTGACAGTAATGTTATTTACCGTAGGATTGGCCAAACTTTGTCACTAGGCTGACAATAATGTTATTTACCGAAGGATTGTCACTAGGCTGACAATAATGTTATTTACCGAAGGATTGGCCAAACTTTTAATCAGGAAAAGGTTTCGTAATTTCTGGATAACAATAAATTTATGAAATATATTGAAATGTATTTTAAATACCATAAATAAAATAATTTGTTTTCCCAAGTAGTAGAAAGGGATTAAATTTGGGTTAAGAATTGCTATATAGAAAAGAAATGCTATTTATGGTAAAGAACTGATACCCATGGTAAAGAAATGTTATCTATGGTAAAGAACTTATATATCTGTCGTAAAGAAATGATATCTATGGTAAAGAACGGTATCTGTGGTAAATAAATGATATCTATGGTAAAGAACTGATATCTCTGGTAGAGAAATGATATATAGCTATGGTAAAGAACTGCTATATGTGGTAAAGAAATGATATATATAGTTGTTGACTTTAAAAGTCAATATGATAAAATAAAAGGAGATCTACATGGATATTTCTAACATTTATTTAATAAAACGGATGTTTTGAGCACTACGTGGAGGAAATAGATCTAGAGTACGCAAACATCTAGAGAAAAGGCTACGGCAATTTGAGTCGGAAAAATCGTCTTCCTTATATTTCGAATTAATTTTAACAATAGTATCTGTGGTAAAGAACTTATATCATTGGTAAAGAACTGGCATATGTGGTAAAGAAAGCATATCGAATCTATGGTAAAGAAAATATTTATCGTATGTATGGTAAAGAAATGATTTCTATGGTAAAGAACTGCTATCTGTGGTAAAAAAAAATATATCTATGGTAAAGAAATGATTTATGTGATTAAAAAAATTATCTGTGGTAAAGAATGATATCTGTAGTAAAGAAATGCTATATAGTATGTGTGGTAAAGAAATGCCACCTATAGTAAAGAACTGGCATATGTGGTAAATAAATTAAATCTATGGTAAAGAAATTATATCTTTGGTAAAGAAATTATATCTATGGTAAAGAATTAAATCTATGGTAAAGACTAAAGAATGAAAGATCTTATATATCTAGGATATAATACTAGTATACTAAGCTAGAGTATAGAGTATATTGGCTCCAATAACGATTATGACCTATAGCTTCAGAATACAAAAGTAGGCTCACTGTTCAGTATACACAGTTAGAGTATATATTCATAACGGGCGTAATATCTGTATATATATACATATATACATACATATTTACAATACATATTATATATTTGAATTAAGTTTAAACCGTATATTTAGCAATACGAAATTTCGGCTGTTTACATGTTCGTCTGTTCTGTAGGAATCTTTGAGGTGCGTTTCCAAAATTTCATTGTGTCGTTATCGTTTCTTTTATCTCCTTAATAAAGGAATCATGCTGAATTTTGTGAGCATCACCCTTTAATCTTAAAACAATATTTCTTATTTATCACAATATACGTGCTGGTTCTATTGGTATTCAATATTCTAAATCCAGTGCAATATCAATGAATAATTTGGATTCATCTCAGAAACCTTTAGCATTCCTAGAGCCTGGAGTAAATTCTATGAAAATAGTAGATTTTCGGGCCAACACCATTTTTATCCTTGCTTTGACAGAGTTTAGAACTATTTAGGTTTAGTACTCCTGTATAGACCTAAGAACTGTATCCTATACATGTTTAGTACTCCTGTGTGGACCTAAGAACTGTATCCTATATATGTTTAGTACTCCTGTGTGGACATAAGAACTGTATCCTATACATGTTTAGTACTCCTGTGTTTACCTAAGAACTGTATCCTATATATGTTTAGTACTCCTGTGTGGACCTAAGAACTGTTTTCTATATATGTTTAGTACTCCTGTGTGGACCTAAGAACTGTATCATACACACGTTTAGTACTACTGTGTGGACCTAAGAACTGTTTCCTATATATGTTTAGTACTCCTGTGTGGACCTAAGAACTGTATCCTATACATGTTTAGTACTCCTGTGTGGACCTAAGAACTGTATCCTATGAGGTTCCACCGCAAGAAATGTTATCCCGGGATTCTGTCACTGTCAGTGTAGATGCTGTCTGCTTCTATAAGGTAATTTATTTATCTTATATTTTATTTATTTTACGTACTTTACATTATTTATAAGTCCCACTTCGTTGTCTGCCTACTTTATAAACTACATTCTGGGCTACTTAAAGGGACTGAAAAGATACAAGTTATGTAACGTCAGCTGTGTTTATTACACACTGTATTACTTAACTGCAATTTGCACACAATTTTTGAGAAAAGCACACGGAGTTCTCTCTCCTCCTTTATCAGTCAAAGGTTTAAAGGGTACCATTGTAAATCTGGCATTTACATCCATAGAAATGTACTTACACTTACCCAGTCAATGCACTCTTTCACCCGTGTATAAATGGAAAAAAATATTAAGAAGAAATGAATAGAATGAAAGATTGATCAAAATTGAATAAAGAAGCTATCAGGCAACAGTAATTGAAAAACCTTTTCGGGGTTTACTCACGATATATATATTTAAATTTCCAATCCTCTAGCCGCATTTTAATGATGAGGTATTGAGGAATCTATACCTCTAGCGTATAATGTTGTTGTATTCAGGTTTCCAAACTTCTAGCTGCAGTTTATATTGATGTTGTATTCAGGTTCGCAACCCTCTACCCCCAATGTATAATGATGTTGTATTCAGGTTTCCAACCCTCTAGCTGGAGCGTATAATGATGTTGTATTCAGGTTTCCAATCCTCTACCCGCAATGTATAATGATGCTGTATTCAGGTTTCCAAGCTTCTACCCCCAATGTATAATGATGTTGTATTCAGGTTTCCAACCCTCTACCCGCAATGTATAATGATGTTGTATTCAGGTTTCCAACCCTCTAACTGCAGTGTATAATGATGTTGTATTCAGGTTTCCAACTCTCTAGCTGGAGTGTATAGTGATGTTGTATTCAGGTTTCCAACCCTCTAGCTGGAGTGTAACATGATGTTGTATTCAGGTTTCCAACTCTCTAGCTGCAGTGTAACATGATGTTGTATTCAGGTTTCCAACCCTCTAGCTGGAGTGTATAATGATGTTGTATTCAGGTTTGCAACCCTCTAGCTGCAGTGTATAATGATGTTGTATTCAGGTTTGCAACCCTCTAGCTGCAGTGTATAATGATGTTGTATTCAGGTTTCTAACCCTCTACCCCCAGAGTATAATGATGTTGTATTCAGGTTTCCAACCCTCTAGCTGCAGTGTATAATGAGGTTGTATTCAGGTTTCCAACCCTCTAGCTGCAGTGTGTAATGTTGGAGCGTATATGCACTCTACCAACCTTCTTGTGGCGACCAGTCTTAGAAATGTACTAGGGACCAAGGTAAAATAGGTTCAAGCGAAATATTTATAAAAAATCACCTATAAAGATTTATTAGCTTATTATCTATACACTTATTTCTTTTCTTTTGAAAAAAAGTAAGAAGAGAAAAAGAAAAAGTTTAATACAAAAATGTAATTTCTGTAAATGGAAAATTAAAATTTAAACTTGAATCCTAAAACTGACGAAGTTCTTGAATTATTTATACAATTTCTCTATTGAAAGCGAAAAGTTTGCAAAAAGAAGGAATTTGACACAATATTTAAACTTAAATATAAACTTTTAAAACGAGGTTGGGGGGGGGGGTGTTTAAAGTGCAGAGAAATACTAAAAAAGAACACAATAGGTTGAATACTGACAGAACATAATAAGAATAGAATAGCATAGAAACAGAAAATAAAATATAGAATGAAATAGAATAGAATAGGAACAGAACAGATTAAAATAAAAAACCAGAATATAATAGGAGTAGAATAGATTAGGATAGATCAGAATAGAATAGAAAAGAATATAATTTAATGTACCAGAACAGAACAGAATAGAATAGAATATAATAGAATAGAATTGAACAGAATAGAATAGAATAGAATAGAATAGAAAAGAATAGAATAGAATAGAATATAATATAATAGAATATAATTTAATGTACCAGAACAGAACAGAATAGAATAGAATATAATAGAATAGAATTGAACAGAATAGAATAGAATAGAATAGAATAGAAAAGAATAGAATAGAATAGAATATAATATAATATAATAGAATATAATAGAATAGAATAGAATAGAATAGAATAGAATAGAGTAGAATAGAATAGAATAAAATAGAATAGAATATAATATAATAGAATAGAATAGAATAGAATAGAATAAAATAGAATAGAATAGAATAGAATAGAATAGAATAAATAAAATATAATAGAATATTATAGCATAGAATAGAATAGAATAGAAAATAATAGAATAGAATAGAATAGAAAAGAATAGAATAAAAACAACAATAAAGTTGGTCCCACCATATATTTATTATTTAAGTTGTATTTACACATTCATGTTGAATAAAGAATAGTTTTCATTAAAGAACTAATTAGACCTAATTAAGTGGAGAAGGGAAGATGGTTCAGGGCTAATTAACAAATTCTTATTCAAGAAAGTGCCTAAGAGCATTACACAAAAGAATTGATATTTCTCAAATTTGGAAAAAAGGAAATAAAAAAATCTTTATGATAAATGGTCTTCTACAATTTTAAAAGTTTATTTTATCCAAATTTACCGTTTATGATAATTTCCGCCTAGGGACGATTTTTCATTAAGAAGTAGTCACTTTAATATCATTATGAATCATAATTTTATGGAGAATTTCTGAAGGGAGAGAGGGGGGGGGAGGGTTACCTATGAGTTAAATCTTTCGGCGAAGAGAGAAGGAGTTGAACTCATTTCTTCCCTTTAAAAGTTTCCAGAGCTGTTACATAGCAGAAACTATAAGTACTCTATGTTTTCCGATATCTAATTTGTAATTCGTTAGTGCAGCAGATTGGTATACGAGTACTAGAATTGGCACTGCTGTATATTTACACTAGATATATATTAAATGAGAAGGATTGGTATACGAGTACTAGAATTGGTACTGCTGTATATTTACACTAAATATATATTAAATGAGAAGGATTGGTATACGAGAACTAGAATTGGTACTGCTGTATACTTACACTAAATATATATTAAATGAGAAGGATTGGTATACGAGAACTAGAATTGGTACTGCTGTATACTTACACTAAATATATATTAAATGAGAAGGATTGGTTTACGAGAACTAGAATTGGTACTGCTGTATATTTAAACTAAATATATATTAAATGAGAAGGATTGGTATACGAGAACTAGAATTGATACTGCTGTATACTTACACTAAATATATATTAAATAAGAAGGATTGGTATACGAGTACTAGAATTGGTACTGTTGTATATTTACACTAAATATATATTAAATGAGAAGGATTGGGAATAAGGAACTCAAAGGGACTGTTCACGGAATTTCAAGAAAAACGGGAGGGTTTGATAAATAATTTTTGTTTTTTGTTTTTTTAGTTTGATATGTACAAAACATTGTCTTTTGAAAGAGATATTGATAATCACATTTATCCTGTTATTTCTCAATAAAGTAAATAAAAAAGTAAATATGAGAGAAAGAATGAAAAAAAGAAAGGAAAATCAATTGCAGAAAATTAAAAAGTGGGAATAAGTTATGAATGGGCCAATATTTTAGTTACGTTATTAATTTTTTTCTCTCAATTTGATGATTTCCATATGTTGATATTAGGTAAAAGAACGGCCGGGAGGGGATTCCTATAAATAGATACTTCAAGAGAAGTAAAAATATTATAATTTAATGTTGAATACGGTAGCAGAGGAGGTATTATAAAGGGGGTTAGATTTTAGAAATTTATATTTTAAATTGATGATGTGATGTGCAGCAATTCATGCATTATTGTTGCATTTATATTTTTATATTTATATTTTTATCGGATGTATTTTAGACGCTGGCTGAGATTTTGTCTGAGAGAGAAATGATCTGCCATTTAATGGAAGCTATTCTTGACGAGGCAACACGACCCTGGGGGGTCAAGGTAGAGAGAGTTGAGATCAAGGTCAGTTTTTTATATTTTATCTTGTTCCCGCTCCCTCCCCCCACAAAAAACAATAGTATTTCACGAGTTGATAAAGCCTTACGCATGGAAACTGTTTTAACCTCCTCCGCCTAATCCAACTTAACCAAAAATATTATACGTCTACATTTTTGAATGTGTGTTTGTGTTGGAGGGGGGGGGGGGGTCCACACTACTCGTGCTAGGATTTTACTTATCGGAGAAACTTAAAGGGAGTGTTCGTGAAAAATGATAGGGGGTATAGGAATAATACGATAAAAAAGCGCTTTTGATAGCTACTAATCTTACTTCTATCTGGTGCGTCTATAAGGAGAAAATTGTTAAAGACGTCTCATACCGAATAACTTAGCGCCCATACAAATTTAGAAAATTGCAACATACGACTTAGACCGTAAAAAATCAATTTAATTTCAAACAAATCATTCAGATAATACAACCTATAGTCATCGATTATCTTTCGCCACATTTGTATAAAGTTTATATTTTATAATATTTTTTAATTAATTTGTTTGTTTCTCTTGTCGCTTGCGCAACTATCTAAGAATGCCGTACACCACTCACAATTTTCGAAATCCGTTGAAAACGTTTTCTAAAAAAATAAAATATTTTAAATATAAACTATATACAAATGTGGCGAAAGATAATCGATGACTATAGGTTGTAATATCTGAATGATTTGTTTGATATTAATTTGATTTTTTTACGGTCTAAGTCGTATGTTACAACTTCCTCAATTTGTATGGGCGCTACGCTATTCGGTATGAGACGTCTTTATCAATTTTCTCCTTATAGACGCAACAGATAGAAGTAAGATTAGTAGAGATCAAAAGCGCTTTTTTATCGCATTAAGCCTATACCCCCTTTCATTTTTCGCGAACACTCCCTTTAAATTATAATTTTTGTGCACTGAAAGTTCTATTAATTTAGTTAGACAATTTTAAGGTTTTCAGATCTATTCATCCAAAATTACTGATTTCTTGCCTCAAACTATTATTTTTCAATCTCAATGTGTTAGAGACCTGATGATGTTGACATTTTATACTTCCCTTTGACTATTTAATCTTTCCAAATAACTATCTAAGGTCTTAGAAATCATCTTGCAAACTCTAACGTTTTTATCGTAATTTACAAAGGAACTGAGTTGTTGCCACTAACTCAAATGTTAAAATCCCTATATCTAGCCACCCTTGATATTTCAAACTTAGATTATTTGATCCGACAGAATTATTAGTTTGAAATATCTAAGGTTTACAACATTGGCACGCACAGATTTAAAGATTAAAAGAACAAAGTTTGAAGCAAAGACTCAATTCCTTTACCTTAAATTCTGATTGAAGTTTGTCGGATGCTCTATTTCTAGAAATATAAGAAAATACAAGAACAAGCAGCAGAAATTATTTCGTAGCTTGGAAAATATTCTAAAGATTTCTTAATGAATTTCTGGGTCAATTAAAGGAAGATACAAAAGTTGGTGAATAACAAAACAGAGATATATTTCTAAACTATTTTTAACCTCCGCCCCCCCCCCTCATGCCTGTCATTATCATGCCTGTTTGATGTTTTTTAAATTGGCATTTCACGTTTTTTGACAATGTAAACTATAGTATGATGTTAGGGTACTTGTTATCATGATAACACTAATAATAATAATACTATCTAAGATTTGAGGGTACCAGTAATAATGATAACACTAATAATAATAATACTATCCAGGATGTGAGGGTACCAGTAATAATGATAACACTAATAATAATAATAATACTATCTAGGATGTGAGGGTACTAGTCATAATGATAACACTAATATTAATAATAATACTATCTATGATGTGAGGGTAACAATAATAATGATAACACTAATAATAATAATACTACCTAGGATGTGAGGATACCAGTAATAATGATAACACTAATAATAACAATACTGTTTAGGATGTGATGGTACCAGTAATAATGATAACACTAATAATAATAATACTATCTAGGATGTGAGGGTACCAGTAATAATGATAACACTAATATTAATAATAATACTATCTAGGATGTGAGGGTACCAGTAATAATGATAACACTAATAATAATAATAATACTATCTAGGATGTGAGGGTACCAGTAATAAGGATAACACTAATAATAATAATAATACTATCTAGGATGTGAGGGTACCAGTCCAGCTCCAGAGAGCTATGGCTGCAGAAGCAGAGGCTGCAAGGGAGGCCAGAGCTAAGGTAAAATGATTTGATTAGTTAATCACTCGATGTATTGTTAGTATTGTCGATATATTCTTGATAATTTAATACAAAACCTTATAATCAAATCACTTATTTCGACAATTGATAGATTTGATAGATGATCTTTGTTTCGATCTCAATCCACATTTTTAATCAAGGTTGTGGCCGCCGAAGGAGAACAGAAAGCTTCGCTTCACTTGAAGGAGGCCGCCCTCGTACTTGAGGAGTCCACCTCAGCTCTTCAACTTAGATATCTTCAGGTAGATAAAGTAGAATTAAAGGGACTGTGCAGACAATTTTAATGACTTCAGCTAGTTTTTTAAAACCTTATTTGGTTCAGTAAAAAAAACGATGTCCCGAAAAGTAAAGAATCTTTAAATCAATTTAAGATACAATTTCAAAATATAGTTTTATGTCACTTAAAATTTCAGGCTCAGTCAATTGTAATACTAGTTCACGTAGAAGAGAGTTCTTTAAGCTATTATCTAACTTCTCTACATTTTTAAATATAGATAATATCTTAAAGATTAGATTATAGCATACGCAGATAATACATAGATAGTCTTAATAAAATTAATATTTCTGGTTCTTCAGAACATAAGACTTCTCTGAATATTCTTATTTTTTTTATTTTTTATTTTTTTATTTATCCATCAAAAAAGATAATAATACAACTGTGTACTGTACTGTACTGTCCTGTACTGTACTTTACTGTACTGTACTGACTGTACTGTACTGACTGTACTGTACTGTACTGTAACTGTACTTTACTACTCTGAACTGTACTGAATTGTGCCATATTGTACTGTACTGTACTGAACTGTACTGTAATATGGAGTACTTAGTGATGGGAAACTTGATGCGTTTATAAACACGTTTAAGATTTCAAAAGACACTCCAAAAATCTGTAAAGGTTTCAATATTTTTAAACTGAATTTTTTGTAAGTTTGCTTTTCTCAAACTAAGCAAAAACGAGCCAAACATTTTTTTGCTTAACACTTTTCTCAAAGCTTAAATTAGGTACAGGGGAAAGAAAGCCATTTTTAAAAGAAAAAAACTATTTTTTTATTTTAAAATTTGTTAGTTTATTGTGTGTGGTCCAAAAACCTAAAAGTTAATGAAAATATTCAATTTGTTGTCTATCACTGACCGTGCAATCCTTTACTGTGCTCTACTGTACAGTACTGAACTGCGCACACTGTACTACACTGTGCTATTGTATATTGAACTGTATATTGTACTGTAATGACCTTTTTTGTGGCGACACATCATTCTGAGAAATGCTCAGTACTGTACTGTACTGTATTGTACTGCGCTGTACTGTACTGTGCTGTATTGTAATGTATTGTATTCCATTATTCTGTACTGTCATTATGTCATTTCAAGACCTGCATTAGGACAAATATGTTTTTACTTCGCATGACTCGGTAGCACAAATCCTTGACAAATCCTAGATTTTAAACCTGAACAATTTCTGGAAATTATCCTTATCCTCTTTTTGAGCTTAACAGACAGACAGATAGACAGCCAGACAGTATGGTATCAGGCTAGGTACACAACCAGAATTCAAAAGAAAAAAACAACGAAATAATGAAACTTAAAAGAAAGTGTTCTCAACATTAAAGTAAGTTTAAATTTAACACAATTTCACCTCATTTTCTATTTTTTTCGAATTCTTTATCTATTCTGAGATAAAAACTAAATAAAAAACTATTTCTATTTCTAAAAAAGAGAAAAAAAACTTTTAAGCAAATGCTATTCTTTCCTCGAAGAAGCACGAACTAGAAGAGGCAATAAAAAGGCAGCAATGAACCTTCACCACTCCCTATTCCGTCATATTTCCTTTTTCCATAAATATTTCCTAAATTCTTATTGAAAAAAGTTAGGTTTTTTTTAACTCCCCCACCCCCAGAAACAATCAAAAATGCTTAATACCAACTTTTTGTTTATAAATGAATTAGGTTTTCATCACAAACTCTGATATTTTAATACCTCTATCTTTGCAAACCAACGTCGTAAAAACTTATATTTGAAAATGTAAACTCTGCTAGATCAAGTAATCTAAGTTTGAAATATCCAAGGTTTACACCACCAGGTTGCGAAGATAAAGGGACTAGAAAATTCAAGTTTGTGGCAAATACGCAACTACTTTGTACATAAAATCTCAAAAGATCAGATTTATAATGTTATTTTTACTTTTTTCCCAGCCAAAGGTTTAAAAAACTTATTTTTTAAACTAGTAAGTTAATATCCTTGTAGAGTTCTGAGTATTCTATGGATTATAAAGACATATATACAGAGAGTTACATACTTAATTCTCACAATATAATAAGCTTTTTAAAGGTTTCTGCACGTTGTTTACAGGGTGTCACAATAAACATTGGAATCTTTTTCTTTCATTGGGAAGATTTTTCCTTTGTTCTTTTAAAAACTAAGTCCCTTTTTTTAAAACTTAACATTTTTGCTAAAACAGATATATATTTTTAAATTCTTGGTTCTGTCTTTCGATTTGCTGAAAAGATCCAGTTTTTGTAAAAAATAAATTCTTCGTGGTTTTTACTGGAATAATGTTGAAAACCTCTACCCCTGTAAAAAGACAAAAACTGCGGAAAACTTTCTTAAATATTTAAATTTATTCCTTCTATTGCCACATTTCCCTGTTATCTTACAGCTGGTTCCTTTTCTAAGTCGGAGAAGATGGAAATTTAAATTTTTTTGTCTTGCTTTTTGTATTCTATTAAAAAAACAAGCCCACAAACTTTTGCTTGAAAAGGAAAAAAAAATCATAAAAATTGTCTGAACGCAAAAAAAGACATTTCTGAATGAAAGAAAATAAATCCTAATGATAAAACCATTGTGAAAATTTTGGCAGAAACGGGAGCTTTAGCTCATCAGTAAACAATATGGAGGATAGAGAGTTAGTCATTTATTATCTTATCCGTCTAATTTTTTAACCTTTTTACTTTCCACTTCATTCTTTACTTATTCTGGTGTTACTTTACCATTCTTTCCTTCATCATTGCTCATTCTTCGCTCATTTGGTTTTTTATCCCTCATTTCTTTCTTTTCATTCCTATTAACATTATTAATATTTAATTTATTATTTATTAATAATATTATCTATAAAGAATTTTTAAAAATTTAATCTGGGACAAAATAGTAAAGAATACTCTTAAAACTAATTAATTCTGTAAAGAGTTGTAAAGTTTTTAAGAACAATGTTAGTTTTATATAATTTTTCTTTCTGATTTTTTCTTATGGTACGGAGGCTAGTTAGGACAGTAGCTGTGCCATCCAAATTTTACCGAATTTTTCGCGGAATATTTCCCGCATTTGCTCGAATCACTTAACCCGGATTTTTTCAGACTTTGAACGCGATTTCTACTGAGCAGAGTTCAACCATTGTTTTCCCCTTCCCCATAGATTCTCTCTGTCTTTCCATGGGGGAAAAAAAGAAGAGTGATTGATAAATTCTTCCTTATAGTAGACATTAAGTGAATACAAACTACTTTTTCAAGGAAATACATATTATCATCTTCAACTCATTTAAGATCTGAATTGTGTAATTTAGTAGCATTTAAACGAAAACATTAGTTCCTTTATTAAACTTTCTTGGACATGTAATGTCGCCAAATATTTCATGAACCATCTAATCCTCAAAATGATAATAACATACATCATTACCACAAAACAAATAATCTGTAATAGAAATAAATTAAAAAGTGTTTACCAGACTGAGATAAAAATGTCAAAAGAAATAAAAGTCTGTAATGAAACCCAAAACGAAAAAGATATGTTTATAAGAAATCTATTTCAAAATTTTTTTCTTTAAAAAATCTTTTCCGCCATAAAATAAAACAAATTTTAGACAAAACAAAATTTTTTCAATTAATTTATTTCTCATTTTTAAAGAAAAATGACATTGTCAACATTCCTAGTATTTAATCTAAATCTTGAAAGAAAAGTTTTCTTTTATTCTTTGAGATTATAAAGATAAATCAGAACTTATTAATTAGGAATCTAACAAAACTCAACAATTATTGAAATAAACTATAATTGTAAAGTTTTAAAAGAATTGCAAATAGCCCCCTTATTCTTAATCTTTCTAAAAGAAAAACTACTCTTTTTTATCGATAAAGTGTAAGCTTATTTCCTTTGAAAGACCTATTGTTAAATGTCTGTGTCCCTTGTAATTAATTACTAAAATAAAATAAAAATCTTTAAAATAATTTATTCATTCCAACCAACCTTTTTTACAAAGTGGTACATTTTCAAGGTTTCCTATAATCTTGGATTTATATATATTATAAGATTTCTATTTCTTTACAAACTTTCACCCTTTGTTAAATATGCAAAATAGACTCAAAGATGAAAGTTTAAAGATTTGGTGTAACATATTTGAAGGTATAATTCCTCTATGAGTATTTTCGGAAGTATAATTGTTAGCTACCCCCCCCCCTTAATTTTTTACTTATCTTATAAAATCTTTAAACTACAACCTCACTAAAATATTCTCGAACTCTCTCATAAGCAACCTCTCAGAGAAATCTCCCAGATAAACCTCCCAGATATAACCTCCCAGATAAACCTCACAGATAAAACTCCTGGATACAACCTCCCAGATAAACCTCACAGATAAAACTCCTGGTTACAACCTCCCAGATAAACCTCCCAGATACTATCTCCTAGATACAACCTCCCAGATAAACCTCCCTGATATAATCTTCCCAGATGCAACCTTCCAAATTCAACCCCCCAGATACAACCTCTCAGATACAAACTTCCCAGATAAATCTCCCCGATAAACCTCCCAGATAAAACTTCTGGATACAACCTCCCAGATACAACCTCCCAGATACAACCTCCCAGATACAACCTCCCAGATAAAACCTCCCAGATATAATCTCCCAGATACAATCTCCCAGATACAACCTCGCTGTAGATACGACCTCACAGATTCAACCTTCCAGATAAAACCTCCCAGATACAACCTCCCAGATACAACCTCTCAGATACAACCTCCCAGATACAACCTCCCAGATACAACCTCCCAGATACAACCTCTCAGATACAACCTCCCAGATACAACCTCCCAGATACAACCTCCCAGATACAACCTCCCAGATACAGCCTCCCAGATAAAACCTCCCAGATACAACCTCCCAGATACAACCTCTCAGATACAACCTCCCAGATACAACCTCCCAGATACAACCTCTCAGATACAACCTCTCAGATACAACCTCCCAGATACAACCTCCCAGATACAACATCCCAGATACAACCTCCCAGATAAAACCTTCCAGACATAACCTCCCAGATACAATCTCCCAGATACAACCTCGCTGCAGATACGACCTCACAGATACAGCCTCACAGATTCAACCTCACAGATACAACTTCCAATTTACAACCCCCCAGATACAACCTCCCAGATACAACCTCCCAGATACAACCTCCCAGATAAAACCTCTTAGATTCAACCTCACAGATACAACTTCCAATATACAACCTCCCAGATAAAATCTCCCCGATAAAATCTCCCAGATAAAATCTCCCAGATAAAATCACTTAGATAAGATTTTCCATATAAAATCTCCCAGATAAAATCTCCTAGATCAGATCTTCCAGACAAAATCTCCCAGATACAACCTACAAGATAAAAGCCCCAAAAATCAATTAAAACGCCAGCACAAGCACGGTCCAGCACAAAGTTGGTTATCATGTTGAATAATGTTTTGTCAATTTAGTTTTGCACGTTCCATTATTTGCCCAGCTTAATTTTCAGTTTGGCTTGTCTTGTTTGTCATTTTTATTTTGGCATGTTATAAGAACTTACCTAGGACTTTTTTAAAATTATATTTTTTCAGTATAATTTACTAGTTAAATTGGTGGTTGATTTTGATGGTGTTGTTGTTGTTTTTCTTATTTTGTTTGCCTATCAAATTTTATCAAATTTTGAAAATATGTAAATATATGGTTGTAAAAGTCAAATTGTGTTTTGTAAGATTATAGCCTCAAAGTTCATGGGAATAAAAACTAGAGTCAAAATAAATATCTGAAGACAGATTGACAAGTTTCTGAATGGAATGTTGTTGTTGTAGTAAATGTCTACGTGTTTATTTTTAACTTCCTAAATTTTACATTTTTACCCAGATTATTTTTCTCTCCATATGAATCCTTGAAAAAGTTAAAATCTCTGAAGATTTTTGGAAAACACCTTTTCCCCTCTGTGACTCTAAGAATGGAAGTGAATAAAGAAAATATTTTGAAAAAAACAGAATTTGTTGAAAAAAATAAAACCTCAAAATAAAGCTACATTTTAAGAGGGTAGAGGGGGTGGGAAGTAATGATAAGTAAGAGAATTTACAAATTATAAGTTATATATTTAAAAAATCCGCCAAATGACCGCCATGTTGTTTCAGACTCTCAGCGCCATCTCCACGGAGCAAAGTTCAACTATTGTTTTCCCTTTCCCTATAGATACTCTGTGTCTATCCATGGGACAGGAGAAGGACAAGAGGAAGAGCGATTAAAAGCTAAACATGAACTCAACCATATTATTGATGAAATACATCTTAGAGGCTTCGCTTCCGTTAGTGACAGATGTCCATGATGGCACTAATAGGGGGACTAAAATCTAGGTTTTATTCAAAAATTTATGTATCTCACAAAAATAATCTCCTAGTTGGCAACCCTGTTTTTCGTAAAAATAATCTCCTAGTTGGCAACCCTGTTTTTCGTAAAAATGCATGTAAAATGAAAAAATTAAACTCCGTTTGATAGGAAAAAAGTAATTAAATATTTTTTTCGGTTTTAAAATAAACGTCATCCTGATTTTATATGTTTAAGAAAAAAGCATTTGTAAAAATCTTTTCATCCTCCCCCCCCCACACCCCCTCGAAACAAATTTAAGTCAACAATACTCAAATGAGCACAAAGTCGCAGCGGCAATTATTTTTTTAATTGTATTTTAACAAACTACAAAATTTCTGGCTTAATCCCGGCATTTAGAGGGAAACTAGTTTCAATAAAATAATATTTTTTTGTATTTCGTCTTTTTTTATTCCCTATATCAGGGCTGACAAAACTTTCTGATATAAAGAAACCAGTTTAATTTATAACTGATGGTGTACCTCAAAAATTGCCAAATTTCCTTAATTGTACCACAATTCTCATCATAATTAGTATAAAGAAGTTATATATATATGGATCCTAATAGTTCTACTGATATTTTAGATCATAAATCATTTCAAATTATTGTTAAAGTTATTCAAATAAATTTTTCTTAAAACTCTGACTTTAGTTTTTTTCCCGTTTGGTTTTTGATTAAATAAAGTTATGATAAATGATTAAGAACTGAAAAAAAACATTAAAAAATAATTCTATGACCCCCAACCTCTGCAAATTTAATTTGGTTTCATTGAAATGATATAAACCAAACTTTAAGGATATATATATATATATATATATATATATATATTAGATAAAATCCAGGGGAAAATATTTTGAACTACCAGCCCCCCCCCCCCACATAAGGGAGGCTGGTAAAATAAAAAATAAAAAATTGGACATTAACTGGCAGGTTTGTTACCCTGTTTCAGTTTTTTCAACAAATTCATTGGTTTTCCTCTTGACATTTTTCCCTTTTTTTCCTTAAAAAATTGGGTAAAAATTCATTTCAAGACGGGGGATGGGGGAGATGGGAAGATGATTTTCCAGAAATTCTTAATTATTAATTTATCGAAAAAAATATTTCCTAAAGGCGTATTATATCTGATATCACTATCTAAGAACTTTTAAAATTAATTTGGTGAGGTGGAGATACTAATAAAACTGATAAAGTATAAAAAAGATTTTATATTTCCCCATCTACCCCCCCCCCCCCTATCTTAATCTTAAAAAATTAGTAAACTCCAATTGGAAACTATATTGAAAACAGATTAAAGAAGAAATTAAAAAAAAAAACTTTAATCTTTTTTTTCAAATTCGTTTTCTCTGATCTTTATCTTGATAAAGATTATATTATATGTATTTTAGAATATTTCTAGTTAGATCCAAGATTATGCTAATTTCCTTCAGATAGTATTTTCTTCCTGAGACTGAAGTTTATGCTCCCAAAAACTAAACTCAAACTCGGTATCTTGTACTCAGACAAACAAATACTGTAGTTAAGTAAAGTTTTTACATACCGGCAACCTACAATATTTAAATATTATTTTGTACTGCAGTGTTTACATCTTTTATAAACTCTTTTCAACTCTTTTTATTATTCTTCCATCCCCTTGCACGATCCTACTTCTTCAAACCAAAGATATTTTATCCCTCTCAGCTCTACACTCAACCCCCATTACTTTGAACCTAAAGCATATGCTAATGTCTTCTGACCTATGAGCACAAATCTCACAATCTGTTTTTTCTTAACTTTTAGAAAATCTCATCTTAAACCCTTTTCTGATCTCTGAGCGCACACCCCTATTTATTCTGATCTCTGAGCACATCCCTAATTATTCTGATCTCTGAGCACATCCCTAATTATTCTGAACACTGAGCACATCCCTAATTATTCTGATCTCTTAGCACATCCCTAATTATTCTGAACCCTGAGAACACCCCTATTTATTCTGATCTCTTAGCACACCCCTATTTATTCTGAACCCTGAGCACACCCCTATTTATTCTGAACCCTGAGCACATCCTTAATTATTCTGAACCCTGAGCACATCCCTAATTATTCTGATCTCTGAGCACATCCCTAATTATTCTGATCTCTGAGCACATTCCTAATTATTCTGATCTCTGAGCACATCCCTAATTATTCTGATCTCTGAGCACATCCCTAATTATTCTGAACCCTGAGCACATCCCTAATTATTCTGAACCCTGAGCACATCCCTAATTATTCTGAACCCTAAGCACAAACCTCCTTTTTCTGAACCCATAGCACATTCTTACTTATTCTGAACCCTAAGAAGAACCTCCTTTTTCGAACCTTAACGACCTCAGCACATCCGTACATATTTTAAACCAAGAGCACTTCCATACTGATTCTAAACTCTCGGGACAACCCAGATTATTTTGAACCCTGAGCAAATTTCTACTTAATCCAAGTCTTGAACACATCTCTACTTATAACCTAACCCTGAGCACAACCCAGATTATTCTGAACCCTGAGCACAACCCTACTAATTTCAGACCCTGAGCGCTATAGCAACTGAGCAGAGTTCAACCATCATTTTCCCTTTCCCCATGGATTCTCTCTGTTTGGCAATGGGTGACAAGCCTGATAAAAAAAAGGCTGAATAAAGGAAGAAAAAGTTCAAAACAAAAACAATCAATATGGCCGCCATGCGAAGTAGTTCAATAACTAAGGATATTTCCACGCCATTGTGAAAGTTAAATTTTCTTCAATTTGAAGCTAGTTATCAGAGGGACTTCGAAACCAACTTTAAGTGACCCTCCATTTATATAATGGCATGTTTAATTGACAACGGTACCTATTTAAACATGCATGTATGAGTTAAGATGAGGACTATATCGTCGTTTTTTTTACAGTGAAAAGTTTTTCTTCCTTTAATGTCTGTGCAGCAGAATTCAGAAAGCTGCTTCAATAGAGAAATTACAATTGAAAATAATCAATTTCATTCCTTCGCGATCAGAAAAAGGTATAAATGAGCCAAAAATGTCTTTCTGTTGATGGAGGGTTACTTGAAATTCCGTCTAAAGTCCCTTTAATCATGATTTTGATGTAATTTGTCGGTTTTCATGCCAGGTTGTTGAGATATAGTAAACAATCTCGGTTAGCAACCTCGACATGAAATGAGATTAGATTTAACTGAATATATAAGCTAATTCTATGACCCCCAACCTCTGCAAATTTAATTTGGTTTCATTGAAATGATATAAACCAAACTTTAAGGATATATATATATATATATATATATAGAAATATAAACGAATTCGAAAAATCTTTTTAACCGTAAAATTTTAAGTATAATCCTAATCCTAGAAAACAGATATAAAGTAAAATGCTCACATTTAAAAGGATTTTTAGAGTTTCTAAGTACAACACAACACAAGTGTATGATTTGAATATTAGATTATTGAAATAAAATTGTTTAGTATTTAAAAGCTCTGTGAGTTTTATGCTATTCCCCAATAAAAAGACATACTACATGCTTATTACGTTCTTGCTCTTGTTTTTTAATTCCCCCCCCCTTGTTCATACCTACATTCTTGCAGAGTGTATGGTTCATTAGTACAAGTTGATAATATGTATCTGCATTGCAATATTCCATTAGAATATACCAAGGGGAATTTTGGAGGGAATACAGATTGCAGGGAATTCCGGGGGGGGGGGAATATATGGGGAGGGGGTGTAAAAGGTGGAAATTTACGAAGTCGCTTTGGCGTTAAAGAGACTGTAGACATAATTTCAAGTTCACCATTTATAGAATGGAATGTCCTCTTTACAACGGCACCCTTCAAACCTTTGTCTGATCAAGGATAAGATTTCTTTAGATTTTATCTGAAAATTGTCTGTCTTCCGTTGAGGTGATCTGAAGATTTGTACTGTAGAGACGATAACGAATATTGTGACAATTAAACAGTTTTCAAAATGTAAAAAAACAACGATATCTTCCTTATTGTATCTCAGATTTAAGGTCTAAATGGGACCGTTGTGAATTGGGCATGGCATTTTTTTTTTTAAATAGAAGGTTAGAAGGTTACTTGAAAATATGTTTCAAATCCTTTTTTAGTGAATAAAAGGATTAAGAAGGGAGTTGGGGATTATATATAAGTGGGATGGAAGAAAGGAAGAAAGGGAAGGGTGGGAATATAGTGGGAATAGTGGAGGCGGAAATGGGATCTAACCGTTGAGCGGGAATTATACCTGAGGGATTTACATTTTAGCTAAGATTGTATTCCGAGTTGACCAATAAATATATTTGTAAATATTTGTTCATATTCTCTACACAGTAAATAGAGAGAAATATAATTTAAAAACCAGTTTCTATTTATTTTTATTGTTCAATTTTCTATTTGTGAATTATTATTCAATATGAAGCTGTTTGCTTTGAAATTATCTTTTTTCTTGTAAATTATATAGTTAATAAATTATATAAATCCCAAATTTTTCTAAATTTTTAGTTCAAATTTAAGACATCAGACGGATATATGATAAAGATTAGACACTGTACGCTACTTTCAAACTTGTCTAGCACGAAACCGAATATAGGTTGTCTCTTGTTGTAGAATTACATAAAGTGATATTATTATATAGTTTCTTCAGGCATGGCAAACCAATCTACATAACACGAACGCATAACTATTTATTTGTATTTTTCATTTTAAGAAATGATATTTTTCATAAACGAATCATGGCGTATTTTTGCCGTTGGAAGTACAACCTTTAGCATGCGACATATTTTAAAAGTGAAATCTTAGAATTTTTTAAAAATAAAAATTATGTAATTTCCATCATTTAAATTTTTTAAAATCTTTTTTTCCGTTTTCCTTATTTCCAGTTACTCAAATTTCATGAAGTGAAAAAGTAATCGAAATTAGAATAACAAAACATACAACAACAAACGTATTTTCTATTTGGTGCGTTAGATCAGATTTCATTTCTAAAAGTGTAATTTCATGCATTTAAACGTCTTCCCCTCCATCTCATAAACTCCTTGCAAGAAAATATTTAATTTCAGACGCTCAGTAAAATTGCAACCGAGCAGAACTCCACAATCATCTTTCCATTTCCTATGGACTCTCTGTGTCTAAGTATGGGGGATAAAAGAAAGTCGGATTAACAGCGTTGAACTCACTTTTCATCAGTTTCAACCAGTTAAACAACATTTTATAAATCTTTTGTCCTGAAAAGGGACTGTAGGCATAATTTCATGTGGTCCCCATTGGTCCAATTCCAACGGTACCCCTTAAACCTCTATCCGAGTAGCAATCGTACTTTTATTTTAGAGTGAAAAATAAGAATATCTCATTTATTAGAATGAATAAACAAAGGTTTGAAGGGTATCTCTGTAAATGGAACCTCTAAAAGTAGATTGTCACTTGAAATTGCGTACACAGTCCTTTGAAGGAATTAGAATCTGAAATTCAAGTCCAAAACCATAAACTATTTGTCTCCAAATAATTGTAGTGTTTATTAGCTAATTTCAACCAAATGCTTTGATTCGACGGATTATTGTAAATATTATTTAAAATCTTATATTGGAAGTAGCTTTTTCATAACTTCTAAATCCTGCATTCTGATTAGGGTTTGCAGCGAAAAAATGCGGA